AAAAAAAATTTATAATAAAAAACAAAGTATAAAAAAAAAAAGGAGAGAGAAGAGGATAAAGACAGCAGTGAACAATAGAGAGGCAGGATGTTAATGAGAAATAGATATGGTTTATTACCTGTTGATGATGACATGTATAGTATTCTCAACTGAACCAGTCTGGGAAATATTTCATGATGGGTGAAGTCTCTTTAATAAGCAAAATAGGAAGACTTATGAATAACAAAAAGGCATATGAAAAAATGCTGAACATTCCTTATCATAAGGGAGATACAGATCAAAACCATAATGTGATGCCGTATAACGCCAGTCAGAATGACTAAGATTTAAAAAAAAAAAAAAAAAAAAATAAAGCTGGCAGTAATTCTTCCCAGATGTAGGAGTAAGAATGATTTTACTTTCTTTTTTATACATGCATCTTCTTATTCTCTGAAATTTTTACCATAAACATGCAACACATGCCTGATAAAAAGATCATTTATTGGCATATTGTGGGAGGATATAAGAAATGATCCTTGTCCTCAAAGAATTCATAATCTAGGGGCTAGCAGGGGGCATGGTGGCTAAGGGTGCTGGACTCCCACATGGCTGACCACAGTTCGAGTCCTGGACCTTGTGGCTTGCTTTCTCACTTTCCCTCTCTCACTCAAATTAAAATATACAAATAGTTAAAAAAATTCTTCTTCCTTTTTTTTTTTGGAGAGGTTTTTGCTATGGGGTGTGTGTACCTGCCGGAAAGCCAGAGAAAAAGAGACAGAAAGCAAGAAATCATCCCCAGGGAGTATGGCCACGCTGCAATCCCTTCTCCTCTATTCTTTTCTTGGGATCTTGGGCATGCATGCACATGTGCTCGGCATGAGTTCAAGCCACCGGGTCTGGGACTTGAACCATGGTAGACTATATGGGAGTCCAGCAACGTAGCCATTACTCCATCTGCTGGTCCCTAAAATAATTCTTAAAAAAATAATTTATAATCCAATTGGCAAATAAGAAAAACACATGAAATAGTTTGAACTAAAAAAGAAAACCACATAGCAGGACAAGATCCTATGTTTAATCATCATTTTAGAGATAAAGAACATGAAGTTCAGGGCAGTAAAGACACTCAGGTGACATGCTTTAATTTGTTGCAGTGGCAGGGCTATAACTAAAGTTTTGAAATTATGAACCCAGCACTCAGTACATTCTTTTTCTAGTCTCGTATTTCTCATCACCAAATTTCTGATGAGTCCATGTGGTACTGATCCATGATAGCAGGTGCAATTGGAGTGTGTGTGGGGGGGTGCTGTTTGGATTCTCCTGGTCAGGAGAGCACCTTGACTCTGTTGGAATGAAATAGAAAAGCCTTAAAGGCAAAGTAGCAGCTCAACTATGTAATCACAGGTCCTGGCCGTAGCCTCAGAAACCCCACAGCATTCGTAGGTCCAAAAGATAAGTCATGCTGCAGTACAGCTCTGATAACATGCTCTCAGAGATGTAGCCAAGGAGCAGCTGGACGGTCCAGGCATGGACTGAGACCAAACTCAGGTGACATGACTTTGAGCATCAGTTTCCTCATATGCACATAAAATGGAGATAAGTACTGTAAATTATGAGCAAGAAATAATAAACGTAAAGCCTTTAGCACATTCCCCAGCATGTTGGACACTCAAGAAACACCCACTATTGTTAGGTAAAGATGAGTAAAGAAAGGATGAGTATTTTCAGGACTCTAGAAACACTGTATAGCAGTTTCTATTGACTAACATGAATGCTATTATCTGAATGTTATATTATTACATTAATATGATAATCAACACTATCATTAGTATGTTAAAATGAATATTACTAGTAGTATAATAATATCTCTCAGTACCACACCACCATATATTAAGAAGTCACTATTGCCCCGCCATGATCTAAACACTCTGGATGCACTAATACACGTGATCCTACCTACTCTAGGAGATAGGCACAGCTGTTATTTCCATTTTATAGGAAAGGAACCAGAAAGAGAGTTATTTGTTCAAGATCAAGAGGCAGCAACAGAAGAGATGAGTTCTGTGACCAGAAGCTGATAGAAATATAGACGGTAAAGGCTGTTCTGAGGTCGTCTCAGATGAAACGAGGAATATCTTACTGGAGAAAAAGCCATCCTTGTTATACCACCGCAAAGAATTTGGCTGCACTGTGTCCATGCCCTAAGGCTTTGTGGAACACCAAATTTAAGAGTAATGAGTATCTGTTAAGTGAAGTTTCTAAGCAAAATACAGAAGGAAATGCACAAGTATCGTAAAAGATAAAATTGAGTGAAGCAGAGAAGAAAAATTTGGAAAACTCACAGCCTAGTCATGCAAAGAATGAAAAGGCAGGTATGACACAGAACATTAAGAATATGGGTGGGTGAGTGGTTACTAAAAAGATTATCACTGCTAGAAGAGATCCAGGTGCTAACTGTCAAATATATGAGAAAAGGGTCCCAGGGTATCTGAGATCTTCAAGGTTGCTTCTCCTATCATAGTCTGAGGTGTAGGAGAGCCACAGGATTTCAGGGGATGGACCCAGGGCAGGTTTGCCATCCTAAACTGCCCTGGAACTCTGGTCCCTGCAGCCTAGTGTTTGTTCTTTGGCCCCAGCTGTGCTTCAAGTGGCCCTACCTGTGGCTTGACCAACTGTTAAGGCTGCAGCTCCAACCTGCACAAGCAGTAAATCCAGTGGCATGCATATGCAGGTAATTTTTTTTTTTTTTTTTGGAGAGGTTGTTTTGCTATAGGGCATGTGCGCTTGCCAGACAGACAGAGAGAGACAGAGACAGAAAGCGAGAAATCACTTCCCAGTGGGGGAATGGCCACGCCACAGTCCCTTCTCCTCCATTCTCCTCTTGGGATCTTGGGCACACACACACGCGCCCGGCACGAGTTTAAGCCACTGGGTCTGGGACTCGAACCGCGGTTGACTACGTGGGAGTCCAGCGACATAGCCATTATGCTAACTGCTGGTCCCATGCAGGTAATTCTTTAGGCTCACAGAATTCATAAGCTCTAGGAGCACTGTGGCCTCCATCTAGATTTCCAAGAATGTCTTGGACTATTTAGAGGGCTAGGCAGAGACTGTCACGGGTTCAGAGCCACCACAAAGGGTTTCCATGAGGGTGAGGCCAAGTGGAAATGTGGGACTATAGCTTCCAGAGGGTGTCTTCCAGGTTAATGCCTGATGGAGCTATGGGGTAGACTGTCCTCCAAATTCCAGAACTGGAGAGGTACCAGTATTCAGTGCCAGTCTTGGGGAACTTCAGATAGGAAACTCCAAATGAGAGTTGATGGACTGAGCCTAGCCAAGCCATTAACAGCCAGATTGCTCAATGGTTTTGGGGATCAAACCCCAAACCAATGCATTTAAGATGTGGTGCACTGGGACCAGCACTTAGTTAATGGCTATGTCACTGGACTTCTATGTAGTCGATGGTGGTCTGAGTTCTGGACCGGGTGGCTTAAACTCACGCTGGTGCATGTACGTGCGTACCTAAGATCCTGAGAAGAGAAGGGAGGAGAAGGGATTGTGGCATGGCCACCCCCTGTGGGGGGTGATTTCTCGCTTTCTGTTTCTTTGTCTGTCTCTGTCTTTCAGGAGAGCGTATGCACCCTATAGCAAAAATGTCTACAAAAAAAAAAAAAAGGATGTGGTACACGAAATTAAATATTATTAAGATCTTTAAGATTTAATTTCTGTCCTTTTAGGTTGCAAACTTACTGAAGGCCTGATATTCCTTTTTTCTTATGGAATGGGAATTCTACCCCATATCATGGTATTTTAGAAGTATATAATTTGTTTTAACTTCAAAGGCTCACAGTTAGACTTTGAACTTTTGAGTTGGTGTTGGGATGGGCTAAGAATTTTGGAACTATTGGGAAGAAACATATTTTGTATGTAAGAAGAAAATGTATTTTGGGGGCTAGGAGCAGAATGCTATGGTCTGAATGTGTCCCCTCAAAATTTAAGTGCTAAAATTTGGTGATTCACTGTGACTATATTAAGGAGGGAAATTAATCCAACTCTGGGATTTGCAGGCGATAATCAGGGTAGGGCCCTCACCTAAATACTGTGGAAGAGGGAATGAGATAGAGACACAGATGTACCAACAGAGAGACACTCATGGATGCAGCCTTCTGATCTTGGACCTTTAAAACTATGAGCTAAATAAACCTCTACTCTTTATAAATTAACCAGACTCGAGTATTCTGCTACCTGCGATACAATGAACTAAAACATTATTTTATTTGTCAAATTAGTCATCACAAAGTGGCTTGAGATGAGTGAACAAACAACATGTGTCTGTCTATCAAGAAAAGAAGGGCCTAACAGGTGGCATGGTAGTTAAGGTGCTGGGCTCCCACATGGCTGACCATGGTTTGAGACCTGGAGCTGGTGGCTTGAAAATCATACCAGGGGTGTGTATGTACATGCCCAAAATCCCAGGAGGAGAATGGAAGTGGAGGGACTGCAGCAGGGAGATATCCCCCTTGGGGGGTGATTTCTCCTTTTCTCATTGTCTTTCTCTGGCAAGCACATGTGCCCTATGGCAAAAGCCTAAATAAATAAATTTAAAAACAAAACAAAACAACACTAGACATGAACTGGGAACTTAAAGGGATGATCAGGCAGTACAGAATCCACTACCTAGGAGGGTAGGCCAACCCTCCAAAGTAAAAAAAACCTGGCTCCAAATCCTGGTGAAAACTGTGCTGGGTGGAGAAGTGCAACTAAAAGAAGGGTTTAAAAAAGTCCACCCACCAAGAACTGGGAGGGCAGGGGCTCACCTACCTGAGGCCTTGCTCCCGTCTGCTTAGTGGCCATGTCCTCCTGCCCGGCTCTTGTCTGCTGATGGCGG